AAAGGTGTAATTATTGTGCATACAATACTAGTGGTAGAGTTTAGTGACGTAGATCTGGTGACTACTACCATCATGGATTGTAAAATAGATGAAAACAGTTGGTGTACATCTTAAATGAAATTTGTGATTTAAAAAAAAAAAAGGAATGCAGGTAATGTGTTAGACTAAGATCTAAACGAAAAAAACTATTGTTTCCTTTATCTTATCTCCTTATGATTAGGACTTCTTTTACAAAAAAACTGAATACTTTTATGACTAATTAAGTTTTTCTTACTCAGTCAAATAACCCCAATGTTTCTTTTAATTTATGAATGTATATTATTAGAGCTATCTACTCGTAATTATTTCATAATTCTATCTTTTAGTTTTCTTTCTATTCTCACAAAATTGCTTCTGTTATGATAAATGTATATAAAATATATCAAGTTTGCATAGTCTATAGCTTAATAACACCTCCATGACCCATAATTTTTATAAGACTTTTGACAGCAGCATAGTATAAATTTACTCTGGCAAAGTATTCTAGACTTCTGTTTACTGTCCATCTACCTAAAGTTAGTTATTTTTAATACGAAATATCCATCCGATAATGTAGTATATAGACCATGTATCTGTCAAGGGTTAGTTCCGATTATAATTTTGGAATACTTTATACTTTATATGTTATGGAATGCTCATTATTTCCTTAATTCAAATCTAAAATATTGCACCTTTTTCCATTTTTAATAATGCAAATTTGAAATATTGCAACTTTTTTTTCCATTTTCACAACCTAATCTGGTTGGATATAATATCAAAATTACACGTGTGTCTAGTATGCGTGGTTGAATTGCGTAACGAAACAAAATTACTTATGTCCAGGATTGTAATACAGCGAATATTTTTAAAATGGGTTTTTTTTTTGGTTGTTATCCTATAATCATGATGAGTGACAGTTTTAAATCAAATCAACAATACAAATACATGTTACTGTATAAGCAGAGTTTCAATACAAATATAGTCAAGAAAATAGAAATATAAAAGAAAATAAGAAAAGAAAAGAAAAGCATCTGGTATACAAGTTATAGATATTTCACATCTTTTGAATAGTTTTGTGGTGTTTCGTAAATTATACAATAGCTTTTGTTGAAACTCCCGGCAATAGCATCACGAGACGAAGTCGAGTGAGGTTGCCGAGGGGTTTCAACAAAAAACTATGGTATAATTTACGAAACACCACAAAACTAACCAAAATATATGAAATATCTGTTGTAACCTATTGCATATGTTGTTGTTTAAAAATGTGTATTTCATATTTTTTTGTTTATTAACTTAAAAAATAATTTTGATAAGAATCGGTCAAATTACCCTTTTAGGACCTTACACATTATGCTCCGCCTACTTTCTAAAATACGCACGGGCTTCTGAAACAGCGGGAAAATCAGTTGGACAAGATATTTCGACAGCGATGGATGCACATCTACATTAGTGACGGGTAACGTTACAGACTAAAAACTGTTGAAGGACTTATATGTTCTGCATATGGACGCAAGATATAGTTTGAAAGATTTCTAGAACCCATATTTAAAGTTGAACTGCAAAGGGTTAGTTTTTTTTTTTTATTTTATCAAAATATTTGAAATGTTTTTAAGTTTTTGGTATTAATTTATAATTCTGTAGAAAATTTAATTCACAAGAATCTTTCTGAGAGTTTGGATGATTTAATTTGTACCAGAAGCCCAAGTTGTACATTTAATTTAGTTTAATTAAAAAGGATTTCAAAATGATCACGATTAAAGATCATTAAAAATCACATGTAGACTATAGATGTTTTGAACAAAAAGTTCACCTTTATTTAGAGTAACTAGACGCGTTCTATTCTTAACGGCCCAACATTATAGTTATTACTTAAGCAAATCGTTAAATTAAGATGTATATAAAATCGGATACGGATCCAGGATTTTGAAAAGGAGAAGGGGTGGTGGTCTAGCCATCCAACATTTGGAGTAATAATACGAAAAATCTATGCATTTACCATTTAAAAAGCTTCTTGAAAGGGGCATGCCTTCCCCCTCCCTCTCCCTTAAAAAAGCCGCCACGGCAAATTTCAACTTTTACATTTAGCTATACGGTTGAGCCTAAGGGACTACAATCCAAGTATACATCTCAATAACCGAAAATCGAATTATATTTTCAAGTATAATATATTAATATATTTATATATACTTTTTTTTTAAACTTTATTCTTGAATCGAATGTTCGTTCATTGAAAAATATAGGACAACGGAGTTGGTGTATGTGGGTTCGATTCCCACCCTAGGCATTCATTTATATCGGCTGGTGCAAAGCGGGCAGTTTAGCTTAATGGCCCTACACTGACTCTGCTGTTCCTATTTCAAAAAATTCAGGCGGCCTCGGATAGCCCTTGCTATCTTTTTTTTTCTTTTCGAATACCAAATACAACAAAACCATGGTATAATTGTGAAAATTATACCATAGATAGCTATGGTATAATTTTCGGTTATTGAGATTTATACTCTTGTTGCATTCCCATAAGTTCCATTGCACAGCTATATGTTAATAATAATCTATACCAGTAATTATAAAAGTGATCACGGGTATGCCTGTGGTCATTTTGCTCTTTTACAGGCACTTGAAATCATTGCTACATCCCTTTTTCAAACGCAACCGTGATTTAGAAGTTGCATCGTTTGATGTTTGTTGTCAAAGTATGTTTTATTATCACATAATGTCAGTCGTTAACTATTCCTTCCACCTAATGTTAGCACAAGCATTTATCAAAATAATTTTAGCCTGTGTATCATTCACCTTTAATTTTATTTTTGTCAATATTAAAGTCTATATCACACAACAATATAAAATTCTTACGGACGCTCCTTTTGTTTTAGAATTTTTGTCAGATATATTCGGAATCCTCTGGTTTTATCCACGTAGTGCCAAAACATATTTTGCCCGCTAACCCCTACTTTTCTTTTCGTAATTTTATTACGTAGTTTAAAAAGGCTTATTTGAATATTTTATAAGACCTTTGTTATTTTTTCATAGTTTTTGAAAGAAAAAATGGTGCCAATATTAAATGTATAAAAAGTCCAGAGGGAATCATTTCTTGCCAATTTTTCAATGACTTATATCTCGAAAACAAGGTCACGGACCATTCATTTTTGTCTGCTCTTTTAATTCCTTTATTTATAAACTATCAATTAATAACAGTCTTTTATAAAGCTTATTTTTTGAAACAGAGTAGCGAACATCCTTAAGTAACCAAAAAAGGACAAATACATGACATAAACTTATACTTAAAATACACACGTTGAAAAGATATTGTACAAAAGTCGTTAAAAATGCATTTTCACTCGTTAATCTATCTAATTTAATCATCGTTTATTTATGCACCAATCTTTTTATCCACTCATTATATTTTTCTATTTAGAAATAGTTTATACAAAATAAAACAGATCAAAGGATCAAGTAGACTATTTTATTTTTTTTTTGTGTGCCTTCATCAAATAATGACATCGAGTTTTATTGCCGTCGTAATGAATAGAGGTTTTTTTTTTTGCTAAACGATCTTTTAAAACACTTGAATATGATATCAATGGCCTTCCGCATGATATCTGCCTAAGTATCTAATAACACTGAAAGAGTACTCTTGAAGCCAAACGTTTTGAAAGACAAATACATGTCATGCGAGAACACAAAACCAATTGGCTTTAACAAAACATACTCTTATGTCAACTTTAAGTTCAATCATATACTATTAGTTAAATATATCTGGACCCTATTGAAAATTCTTTTTTGACACTTGAAGAACAAGTTCATTGTTGCAGTTTGTTTTGTTTTCTTTCTTTTCTCATTTACACACGTTTCTGGATCATATTTAAAATGATACAGTGCTTATTCATGTTAATTTTTCTAAAATGAAATTAAGGTGAATTGAGCATCAATCACACAAATTCATAGTATTTGAGCATATTTTAGATAAGTTAATGCTAATCTAGTACACATTCTATTTTGATATATACATGATATATAAATATTCTTCTTGGTCTTGACTATGTGTTCATACTTCCATTATATTTTACTTTCTTGATCCTAAACAATACAAAAAATATTTATCTATCAACTCCCAACTTACAATATCTCCAATGCAAGAGATAAGATGCAATAAAACAAAGAAGGCAAGCAAATATCCAGGTCACCTTAGTCATGTTAGTTCACTCCTAGAATTTTTTCGGTTATGTTCAAGTCTCAATACTTTTTTTAAAAGTGATGTAAGGATTGGTGATTCATTTATAGAATATGTATGCACTAATGTATATTTCATTTTTAATATGTATGTACAAGTCATTTTGTGGTTATCAGTCATGAGACAATCAAATCACATTATGGAAATTGTCTTACTTGCAAAAGATGCCAATTTTTCTTTTGAAAGTCTTGAAGAAAAAAAGTAGTTCACCCTGCCACATATTCATGTGCCTGTTTCAAGCCAGGAACCTTTTCAGTGGTTGTCTAAAGTCTCATCCTAATAAAAAAAAAATATTTAAAGAATTTGGTGTTGATGGCAGCTCTTTGATTGGTATAGACTCTGGTTAATTAAGTAGATCATGACATTGTTTAGACACCTGTTCATTGTTGAGGACTGTATGTTAGCACCTTAATGCCTTTCATGTGTTTTTGTTGTGTAGCTATCTGATTTATATCTCATTGTATTAATAAACTTAAATAGAAAGTTCTGTGAAATATATTTTGATATACCATATTGAAAGTCACAACCATGTCCTTCTTATTTCATATATGTATTTCAGTTTTTCAGTTTAACACCAATCTTAAGGTTAAGGCACAAAGAAAACAAATGTTGACAAACAACAGGCATATACCATTAGAAGATCTCAAAGTTTGGCTGCACAATAAATTAAAAATTCTTGTTATTTCAAATATTTATATAAAATTCAGTTTAAAACATGCATTTTCCATTTTTTGACTGTAATTGTCATGTTGGCACAATAACTTGAATTTGAATTGTATTATATTCTGAGAGTACTTGTGGTTGAAAAAATATACACGATATTTAATTCCATGTGTTTTAGATTTCTTGAATACACCACTCTCATATAATGACTACATGTCTGTTAGTAATGTTTAAGAGTTCTCTCCTGCATGTAATTGCTGTAATTGCTATTTGTACCCAAGGCTTCCTTCATACATTTGCACATATCCTTCTAACTTCTAAGATGTTGCTTGAATGATAAAATCCTGTAATACATTATCAGCCATCAGACTCTTGGAATATAGTTGCTGTAATAAAAAAAATAAACTGTAATCACAGAGATATGTCACGCTTTTCGGTAATTTCGATAATGCAAATGTTGAAATTAAAATAGCAACACTTTAACATGTAAGACATGTAAGATTTGCAAATATTCGAAGTCAATGAACCATGACTGAAGGTACATGGCTAAACAATCTCCATGGAAATTAGATGTGCCAATGCTAATACAACGCATACCAAATACCATTGACTTATCATAGGTAGTTCCCTTTAAAAAACCTAAACACAAACTAATACATGTAAACTAAGAATATTTTAAAGTCAATAAACGATAACTGAGGGGGCGGGGTCAAATAATCTCCATGGTAATGAGATGTGCCAATGCTAATACAACTGCATACCAAATATCATTGACTTACCACCAGTGACTTCCCGTGAGCCGACCTAATCACAAACTAATATATGAAAACTAACGGCCTAGCCTCAATCAGATGTACATTTTGTGTTTCACATGAAGTCAAAAATGAAGATCACATCAGGCAAAAACCCTTTTGATATTTTGGTACAGAAATGGTTTAAATTATGAAAAATGGCCATCATAAGGCTAACACTTGAAGCATTTATATAATTACATGCAGTTTTGGGAAGAAATATTTAATATTTTTATTAAATAAATGGTGTTTTAAAACTGTCTAATTTTCTTTAATGGTTGCCTTCAAGACATGGACACCAGTTTCAAATTTTTGGCCAATGACAAAGACAACAAAATATGTTTAGAATTATTGAATATCAAACATTTTAATCGAAAAAAAAATGACAAGAACATGTTTAACTCACAATTATTTCAAACAACAGTAGCTTTCTTTGATCATTACTCTGATCTGATCAAACTATTTCTAAAATAATCTATTAATAACAAAACTTAAAAAAAAAACCTTTCTTTTGGTGTATAGAACATTAAAATAACTTGATGCATATTCTTACAATAAACAATCAAAGTTAGCAATACAATTTATATGTTTTGTCTACGGACAAGACATTTTATTGGTATTTAGTCAAATGCATCATTAAAACTTAATTTTGACATAGTTGAATATGTTCTCTTGACAAAATAACATACATTTTATTATGTTTATCTATCAAATGATGCTGAACCTCGAGGAAATTGGAAACAAATACATTGTGATAATGTCTACGGACAAGACATTTTACTGATATTTAATTAAATGCATTAAAAAGATAATTGTTAAAATTAAGATTAAGTTACCCATTAAATTTTAAGCTGTGTTTTTTTAATTTTTGGAAAATATAAAAATGTACCCATGATTCTTTACATATCTCAAAATTTTATTGATTAAGCAAAAATGAAGACACATTCTTTCAACTGAAATCCATAAGTCTGAATGTTTAACAATTAAACTTTTATTAAAACTCAATTTTGACAAAGTTGAATGTGTTCTCTTGCAAAAAATAACATACATTTTATCTATTAAATGAGGCTGAACTCAAGGAAATTGGAAACAAATAGATTGTGGTAATGTCTACGGACAAGACAATTTCAGTTGAATAAACAATCTGTTAGAAATATTTGTGATTATATTTATGTTGAAAATACTGAGTTTTAATGTGTTCAAAGAACTTTCATCACCTATAAATTAGATTTAAGTTCCAAAGTAGACAAATAATTGAATTTAATATTTGTTATGTACAAGTGTCTTGTCCGTAGACACTTTCTCATCTGCTGATAATCCTAAAACGCAAAAGATAAAGTCTGAGATAGAGAAATACTATTTCTTCATTTGATTAAGTTTATCTTTTAAGTTATGAAGCAACTGGAATAAAAATATTGAAGTAAAATAAGGTATGTTTTTAATGACTGACAATTTGTCACTTTTTAAAATCCACTCCTGTAAAGTAATTTTACAAAAAATAAGAACAGTTAAATAACCATTAATAAATCAAAAATAATATATTTCTAAGTTTAAACAACTCATAGGAACAATTTAGATCCATAAAGCCAAGCAATATTGATATAAAGTCATGTCTACGGACAAGACATGTGTCTACGGACAAGACATTCTGACATTTTTTTCAAATTCTTCCTCTATTAAAAGATGGTAGAAATTAATGTTTGTAGTGTCTTTATATCTACAAAAGAGTAGGAACTTAGCAATGCAACATTTATGTTATTTCACTTCCAGTTTACTAGGAAATGCATGTCTACGGACAAGACATTTTTTCACTTTATTTGGATATCCATTTTAGATGGCATATATCTCCAGCTAGGTTGGACCTATAGTTGTTAATTTCTGTGTCATTTGGTCTCTTGTGGAGAGTTGTCTCATTGGCAATCATACCACATCTTCTTTTTTATATGACCTAATCACAAACTAATACATGAAGACTAAGCAAGAGTTTCAAAGTCAATAGACCATAACTGAGGGGCAGGTCCAAATTATCTCCATGATAACGAGATGTGCAAAAACTAATACAACTGCATACCAAATATCTTCGACTTACCACTTGTGGTTCACTATAAACTAGACCTAATCACAAACTAATACATTGTTGACACCGCCGTCGTCTCCAATGATTTACGAAACTATTACATATATATATATATATCGTGTGAACCACTGGAGTGGAATATAATAGTTGTTGTTTATCATATTTATTTTTTCGTTTAATGTCTTTTACGTTAATTGGAATTGTTTTACATCTGTCATTTCAGGACCTTTTATAGCTTGCTAGATGCAGTATCAGTTTTGCTCATTGTTGAAAGCTGTTCATACAGTGATCTATAGTTGCTAACATTCAGTCATTTGGACTCTGGTGGATAGTTGTCTCATTGGCAATAATACTACATCTTCTCATTTTTATCAAAATAAATTAATAATGAAAACTAACTCTATTCATGCATGTGTACTACACATTACCTGTATATATAATATATACTAGAATACTCCCGGGACATCATGGGGTCGTGACTGAAGCAAAGTACCTTAGCCTTATTTTTAGCCTAGATTTTAAGTTTTCGTTTTGTCATCTAATAATGTCATGCTGGTCATTAGGTGCAGAGTTTTCTCTGCTTTCAAAATCTTTCTTTTTGAACCCTTCAACCCAGAACTTGTTAATTATCTGTAATAATAATTATGTGGAAAACAAATGGGCCTGGAATGGTGTAATTTTTAATCAACACCATTGTCCTATATATATAAGTTATGTATAAAGTTGAATTCTTTGAATCATCATTTTTATGTCATGCCGGCTCACAAATTGGACCTTGTTATTTTAGTATTATAGATCTAGATTACTAAGTGCCTATAGAAACACAATTCCTCATTTTTCAAGCCCCTTTCTTACATGTCTTAACCTCATTTAAATTACAATACCAACTAAATATGTCGCTCACCTGATATTTTTTTTATTTTACAATTGATGCATGAAATAATGCAACCGTTGTACTTTTGCTTTAGTTAAAAAGGTACAAGTCAAAACCTGCATTTTTTTCCCCCTATTATCTATTTTTGAACTAGATACCTTAATGCTTATTATGGCCAAGTTTGGTTAAATTTGTCTCAGTTGTTTCAGGAGAAGATTTTTATAAAAGATTACAAAAATTTACGAAAAATTGTTAAATTTGACTTTAAAGTGCAATAACTCCTTATTGGGTCAATTGACCATTTTGATCCTGTTGACTTATTTGTGAATCTTATTTTGCTGAACATTATTGCTGTTTACAGTTGATCTCTATCTATTATAATGTTCAAGATAATAACCAAAAACTGCAAAATTTCCTTAAAATTACAAATTCAGGGGCAGCAACCCAACAACGGGTTGTCTGATGCGTCTGAAAATTCATCAGAAATAGGTCTTCACCTGATGAACATTTTTATCCCATGTCAGATTTGCTATAAATGCTTTAGTTTCAGAGATATAAGCCAAAAACTGCATTTTACCCCATGTTCTATTTTTAGCCATGGCGGCCATCTTGGTAGATGGGCAGGGTCATCGGATACATTTCTTAAACTAGATACCCTAAGGATCATTTAGGCCAAATTAGGATTAATTTTGCCCAGCAGTTTCAGAGGAGAAGATTTTTGTAAAGGATTACAAAAAATTGTGAAAAATTTACTTAAAAGGGCAATAACTCCTTATGAGGTCAATTGACAATTTTGGTCATGTTTGACTCAATTGTAGCTTTCACTTTGCTGAACAATTTTGCTGTTTATAGTTTATCTTTATCTATTATAATGTTCAAGATAATATTAATAACCAAAAACTGCAAAATTTCCTTAAAATTACCAATTCAGGGGCAGCAACCCAACAACGGGTTGTCTGATGCGTCTGAAAATTTCAGCACAGATAATTCTTCACCTGATGAACATTTTTAACTCTGTCAGATTTGCTCTCAATGCTTTGGTTTCAGTGACACGAGAGATATAAGCCAAAAACTGCATTTTACCCCCATGTTCTATTTTAAGCAATAGCGGCCATCTTGGTTGATGGGCAGGGTCATCGGATATATTTTTAAAATTAGATACCCTAAGGATGATTTAGGCCAAGTTTGGTTATATTTGGCCCAGTAGTTTCAGAGGAGAAGATTTTTGTAAAAGTTAAGGGACGACAACAGAAGCCAAGTGATAAGAAAAGCTCACTTGGCCCTATTCGGCAAGGTGAGCTAAAAATGGTATGTCTATACCGTAGAAAGGCTTGTATAGTCCGCGGTTTTATTCTCCAAAATTGGACCTTCCAGACGGGGTGCAGACTATAGAGTACAATAAGCAAGAAATAAGAGAAAAATTTCAATTTCGCGGGCGAGGTGGTTTGTTGACGTTCCCCCATCTTTGTTATTTCTATTGTAGAGCGCTCTTATCATTTTTCAAACTAATAATTTTAACTCATCCATATTAATAAGTTATTTCTATTCAATATCAAAATTAATACTGATAGATATAAAAACTAAACCTTTCATTACAAATTTCTCGTTTCTTTTCAATGCATTGGTTGAAATAAACTGGTATCTGCTTGATTGAAACGGTACAAACATAGTGAAAAAGACAACCGTAAACCAGCTTAGAATTTGTAAACTACAAAACGTAATCGGTTATTGTTCGTTCCGTTTTGGTGTTTCATACTGACTAATATGGTTTGTATTAGCTTAAGACCCTTCAAACATTAATGTGATAGATATATTAAAGCCTGTTTTACAAAAGGATGGAACTGTTTTACTTTCAAAGTCGTATTATAGTGATATCTGTTATGTACGGATTTCGACTCTCACCAGTTAATTTCTTCTTTTACACGTGCTTTTTAAACTTCCTGTTTAAACATAACAAGTTTCTAAATTGTTTTTTAAGTGAATTAAACTTATTTTAACAATCATGAAGCGTTCTAGAATCATTTACAAGCAGTTTCAGCTTCTTTTTGATGATGGAAAACAGGTTTTTCCAAGAAAATACCGCAAACGACCGCACAGGATTTGAAATTACCGGAGTTTCATTAGACCTTTTCTAACAGTTACAAAAAGTTTTTTTACCTATAATTTCGTGGGGAGAAGGGGGTGCGGACTATGTACCAGTGCGAACTATACAAGCCTTTCTACGTTTCTACGGTAGCTCTATGCATTCTGTAAACATCTAGTTACAAAATTTGTGATTTATCTTTTATAGGGGTATAAATCAAAACTCCAAATGCTCTGCAAATTCTTTATCTGCACTACTTTTTGATTACCTCTGCTGTGGAGGTTCATTATGGTTGAAATTTGTAAACATCTCAGATGAAAATCAAAATGTTCTGAAACTTTTTGGTAATGTTGCAGTTGTTTGTATATACATTTATTATTTATAATAGAAGAACAGAGTTCCAATGTCCCCATTATTGCACGTATTTTTTCTATTCAAAGTATAAGGGCAATAACTAAAAAAAGCACTTTTTTGATGTTAAAATCCAGCAGCTACCACCATTGACCTCCCTTTTGTCGAGCCTTCGACTTTTGTCCAAAAAGCAAGACATAGCGATCCTACATTTCGTCGTCTGCGGCATCCACAAATATTCACTCTGTGGTTAAAGTTTTTGAAATTTTAATAACTTTCTTAAACTATCCTGGATTTCTACCAAACTCGGACAGAAGCTTGTTTATGATCATAAGAAAGTATCCAGAAGTAAATTTTGTAAAAAAATTCCTGTTTTTCCGTATTTTACTTATAAATGGACTTAGATTTTATGCCAGGAAACATTACATTCACTCTGTGGTTAAAGTTTTTAAAATTTTAATAATTTTCTGAAAGTATCCTGGATGTTTACCAAACTTGGACAGAAGTTTGTTTATGATCAAAAGCTAGTATCTAGAAGGAAATTTTGTTAAAATTGTGTACCTGTTCATTCGTACTTTACTTATAAATGGACTTAGTTTTTCTTCCAGTTAACATTACATACAGTCTGCAGTTGAAGATTTAAAACATTTATTTGATTCATAAACCATCCTGGATTTTTACCAAACTTGGACAGAAGCTTCTTACAATCAAAAGATAGTATCGAAAGGAATATTTTTATTAATTTCTTTCCTCATTTTTGTTGAGCCTGCGATTAACAGCAAAAGTAGGCGAGACACTGGGTTCTGCGGAACCCTTACAATTTTTTTTAAATTGCCTTGGAATTTGTTATACCATTTGGAAATTAAATACTGTAACAAATACATACCAGTTACATTTATATATACTGTAGCTATAGGATCTCCTCAATATTTAATCCTGTTGTTAATTTCATTTAAACATATAATGTATATAGCTTCCCTTCCACTTACATCTGAGGAGCTAATTCTGAAAATTAAAATTCCTGTGATTATCATATAAAATCTGAACCTGATGCACTGCTTTCCAATAAAAATAAATTGGCAATACAGTTCTCCCTTGGTAAAGAGAGAAAACAAGTGATATTTTTATATTATAACCAATACTGCACATGGTAATTGGAACATCACTAGTTTTTTGGATTGGATTGTTGCTCACTTTGTCAGGATTTTTTATAGCTGACTATACAGTATGGTTTTGTTCATTGTTGAAGGTCATGCATACAGTCACCTAAAATTTTTTACATCCTCTTCGACTAATGGAAAGTTTTCTCATTGACAATCCTACCATACATTGCAAGACCTTATTTCTAAAATACTAAAAATTTCAATCTGTGACAATAACATTTTATTAATTTAATAAGGTAATCTGATCAACATTATGAAGCAATGTTCCAAACACTTTGTCATTGTCTGACAGCGATCAAAGTAACTTTAACTCCTATGACAATGTACAATGATGTATATATGTGCAAGACTCAAAACTAAGTATCACAATTTAAATTCATACATATATCCATATACATTTACAAGGTACTTAATAAATCAGTGAGACTGACGCATAAAATGTAGGTAAAAAAAATATGCTTTTTGTTGGATCCTGCATCATAATTATTACAAGTTAAATGGAGGCAAGTCATAATCATTGAGAACATGTACATTATAATTGAACTTAAAGTAAAGGATAATCTGAGTAGTCTCTAATCAATAATGAAGCCACACAACACTGTGTGACAACAGTGACATATAAATCTCCCATAGATGCACATACTATTTATTTTAGGTCTTTTGTATATATATGTTTAAGGTTACTTAGAATTGGCTGTTGACATACATGTACACATGGACTGTCAAGCATGGAGTCATTGGACCCTAGGTTACTCCAGTCCATTATCAGCCACTATCAATAGTCAACTCCTCTGTCCATTTGTTGTAATATAATGGATTGCTGAAAGGGAGAAAACAGTACTTTATTAATAGCATGTGGATGCAAGACTATAATAAGTATTCAAAGAGTTTTGCAAACAATTAGCTTATACATTTAGGAGATATCTGTATTTACCTAGTGATGTGACAGTAAAATCAAGTTTAACGAAGGCCAAGCTTAAAATACAATACAGTTATCTACATTCTAATGCAGCATATTAAAATAAATACCATTTAACAAATATTTTGGCGTAAAATGAAATAAATGAAAAAGTCCGCAAAACTGTTGCATTGTCTTTAGCAACTAAACAATGTGACGTCATATGTATACTCATGATGTCAAACATAAAACTCTAGATGTACATTTCATTTATACCTTTCGTACACTTCAGAATGGTTTCAACGTTGACAAAAAGAACATTTTGTGCACATTTTGAGACACAAAATGTGACTTTCATGTTTAATTTGTGAGAAATTACATACCAAAAAAAATTGGAATTCAAAATGGTGGCTTTCTTCGATACGGACTGGTAGAACGTGGAATTTACCCCTTCAAAATATATGTCAAAGTCCAATGAAAATTATCATAATCAACGAATTGCATTAGAATTATTTTTTACTAATATTAAACTTGTAGTATCAAATATCAATAAAATGCTCCGCTGGGCGCAGCTTGATACGACGGCAGAGGTTCAACCCTGAACAGTTGGGGCAAGTATGGACACAACATTCAAGCTTGATACAGCTCTGAATTTGGATTGTGATTAAGTATTTGACACAGCATAGGTTTCTGACACAGAATGAATGTGGTCTAAGAACTTAAAAAATTTTAATTTACCTATTCAAACCATATCATTATTATTTGCTTTTATATATGAATCAGAAAAAAACAACTTAAAATTGAAAATTTTAAAGAAAAAAAAATCCCCCCCCCCCAATTTTTGAACCCCCTTATGATTCATCACCCCCAAACTCAATCCCAGCCTTCCCTTTGTGGTATGGTACCTTGCAGTACAATTACAGAGAGATCCATACACTTGAACACAAGTTATTGTCTGGAAACTAGAAAAATGCTTGTTTTTTGGCCCCTTTTTGGCCCCAAATTCCTAAACGTTTAGGGCAATTACCCTTAAACTCAAACCCAGCTTTCCCATGTGAAATGGAACGTTGTAGTACAATTTCATAAAGATCCATACACTTACACACAAGTTATTGTCCTTAAACTAAAAAAATGTTTGTTTTTTGCCCCTTTTGGCCCCTAATTCCTAAAATTTTGAGGCAATTACCCCCAAAATCAATCCCAGCCTTCCCTTTGTGGTATGGTACCTTGCAGTACAATTTCAGAGAGATCCATCCACTTGAACACAAGTTATTGTCTGGAAGTTACAAAAATGATTATTTTTGGCCCCTTTTTGGCCCCTAATTCCTTAACTGTTGGTACCATAACCCCCAAAATCAATCCCAACCTTCCTTTTGTGGTATTGAACCTTATGGTAAAATTTCATAGAGATCCATTCACTTAAACTAAAGTTATTGAGAGAAAACCTATGTGTCTTCGGACTACGATGACGCCAACGTCATACCAATATAATTTTATGCTGTCGTATAAAAAGCAATGGATTGAAGTCATAGAAGTTGCTAAGAACAATGAAGAAAAAAATAAAGTTAATTTTTGTCCCTTTAATTTATGTAGGGGTTCAAAATAGTGCAAGTCTGAGGTCCGGGACCTGTCTTTTCTAGGAGGTGACTTTTTATTTTTAAATTACAAGTCAAGAACCTACCATTCTTAACACAGATCATATGCTTTAAACAGAACCATTAAATTTCTTATGGAGGACCTTTCACTGGACTGAAAATTTCAAATAGTCCAGGACCTTTCATTTTTAATGCAAATTTGAACCCCTGCATGAAGACCAATTTGAAAACCTGGCCCAAAATAAATAGACAGCTGCGTCATGAGCACATGATACACCCATTGCTTATTCAAAGAATAAAGTTCAATAACTTTTCAATGTCATAATCAGACTTTCATGAAAAACTAAAGGGAGGTTACCTTAATAGATATAAACCAGTCACCAAAGTTTCATGATAACTGCTCAAAGCATTGTCTGAAATATGAAAATCCCCCCCTTTTTATGAATAAAATCACATACATGTAACTCTGAAACATAAAATCTAAAATTAATAAAAATCGAAAGAGAGCTTACGACAATCGATATAAACAATTCACCAAAGTTTCATGAAAACAGCTGTAAGCATTTTTGAGTTATTTTTTGCAAGTCTATATAAAATTGGTAGCAATATTTCTACTTAAAGTATAATACCATAATCAATGACATTAATCACATGATCATAGCAGATCTACGATAAATGAGCAGTGGCTGAATATATATGTTCTTTAATGACAACATGCAGTTATTTTGTCTTATTCTCAAAGCAGAGAACTTGGTTTAACAAATGTTTAATAAAAAAAATTAAATTCACTTTCCAACTTATTTGAGTCCAAAATAACCATATAAACAAAAAGACAAAAATAGAAAAAAAAAATTTTTTGTAACCAAGTTCTCTGCTTTGAGAATAAAATATTATCTGGTGTCAAGAGAAAAGGGGGATGTTTATGAATAACCAAATGAATAAAAAAGACAAAATCTTTTGGTATTATTAAAGAATATCTGATAAATCTTGTAAAAAATATGCAACTTTTCTCCAAGCAGAGAACTTGGTTACAAAAAAAGTAAAATTAATTTTCAGACTTATTCAAGTCCAAAATAACCACATAAACAAAAAGACAAAATAAAAAGTTGGAACCAGAGCTTTTACAGTTTTTGGAATTATCACAGAAAATCAGATAAATCTTGTCAAAATTTTGACTTCAATGTAACCTTGCTCAAAGCAGAGTAGATATACTTATAAAAAGAATAAATTCATTTTCAGACTTATTCAAGTCCAAATAGGACAGACTTGTTATAATATTAGTTTTTCATTACACCGAATTTCACAGGCCTCAATTCCTATCTTTGAAATCTCAGTCTCTTGGGTAAATATGTATGTATGACCCATAATTTGGAGTTTAAAGATTTTTTGCAAGTCTATATAAAATTGGTAGCAATATTTCTACTTAAAGTATAATACCATAATCAATGACATTAATCACATGATCATAGCAGATCTACGATAAATGAGCAGTGACTGAATATATATGTTCTTTAAAAATTAATGACAACATGCAGTTATTTTGTCTTTAGAATTTAATTCAAGAGTTAAGCAGGTTGAAACTTGTGTAATTTTGAAAGGTACACACAATATCACTAATTTCGACTTGTACAAGTCGATATTTCAAAAACAAAGACAGTCATGACATTTTATATTTTACAGGATCCTTATTATAAATGTAGTATATATCAGACGAATAATCTCACACAACTATTTCCAGTTTTTCTGAATGAATGATAGGATTACCCACATCCCATGGCTAATCATCGATAAACATCCCCCTTTTTTCTCAACACTAGATAATATTTTATTCTCCAAGCAGAGAACTTGGTTTAACAAATGTTTAATAAAAAAATTAAATTCATTTTCCGACTTATTTGAGTCCAAAATAACCATATAAACAAAAAGACAAAAATAGAAAGAAAATTTTTTTTGTAACCAAGTTCTCTGCTTGGAGAATAAAATATTATCTGGTGTCGAGAATAAAGGGGGATGTTTATGAAAAACCAGATGAATAAAAAAGACAAAATCTTTTGGTATTATTTAAGAATATCTGATAAATCTTGTAAAAATTTGTATTTATATGCAACTTTTCTCCAAGTAGAGAACTTGGATACAAAATAAATAAAATTCATTTTCAGACTTATTCAAGTCCACATAAACCATATGAACAAAAAGACAAAATAAAAATTAGGAACAAAGCTTTTGGTATTATCAAAGAAAATCTGATAAATGTTATCAAAAATTGTAATTAAATGCAACCTTGCTCCAAGCAGAGTACTTAGTTCAAGTCCAAAATAACCACATGAACAAAAAGACCAAATAAAAAATATTTTTGGAATAATCACAGAAAATCCGATAAATGATAATCTTATAAAAATTTGAACTTCAATGCTACATGCAACTGCTCCAAGCAGAGTACTCACAAAAAAAAAAATCATTATACAGACTTATTCAAATAAAAAATAACCATATGGAAAAAAAATTGGAAACGTAAGCTTCGGACGCATGAAATTTATAACGTGTTGTTTTCAATTTTTTTTTAATATTATCATAGACGATCTTATTCATGTTATTAATTTTTGTAGTTCAATACAACCTTGCAAATTTGCTCCAAGTAGAGTACTCACTAGCCGAGGAACCTTAGTTCTAAGGTCCTTATGATATTTTTTGACAATTTGTATTTTCAAAAAATATTAATATCATAGGGACAAAATTGTCAAAAAATATCATAAGGACCTAAGAGCTATGATTCCATAGCTAAGAACTCACAAAAAGAATAAAATTCATTTTCAAACTTATTCAAGTCTACATAAGACAGACTTCGACTTGTTATGGTCGCAGTCTTCAAATCCTGTCTATTAAATCTCAATCATTTGTGTAAATATGCATGTATATTACCATAAATTTGGACTTAAATTTTTAAAGGTCGGTCTATATAATATTGGCGATATGTAATTATTTTTTTTATTTCGACTTTTGCAGTTGAATTAAAGTATTAGACAAATATCTATTATATTACCATTATTGTAGCTGTCTGTAATAAAAACATTTTGTGTTCCACTGTTTATTATCCTTGAAATAATCAAAAGTCAGGGCTGATATGCATAAAACCACTTAAGTTAAGATATCCAATCGTAGTACTAATTTATCGTAGGACATGTAGAAAAATCCGTCGGTTCGAAACAATTCTTAAGTTAAGTAGCTGTATGCATACGGGCCCCGAGTTAAAAAAAAATGCCTTGAAAATCTTATGATGCTTAGAAAGGGAACACACAATATCACTTATTTTGACTTGTACAAGTCGCAATCTAAACATAAGGACATTCACAAAATCACAAAATGTAGTAAAACAAACAACAAAATTATGCTATCTTGGGCAATAACTTATCAGTTATTTCCATAATTTATTACTGATCGCGAATATAAATATATAACAGATTTATTAAACGAGTCCTTCTTTAAAATTTGTATCTATCTTTTGCAATATTTTTTTTCTCGGCTACATGTTCTGTGAAATTCTTACACCAATGTTGAAATGATCCGTGCCCCAACTTGCCTCGAAATCATAAAAAAAAAACCACACACCTTCTCTCCTTTCCCCTTAAATATAACAGCAGTTTTAATCTGTTGAAAAATCCATTTGGAAACATACAATCTTTAATGCAGCCTTTCTTCGATCAGAAGTTGTGACAAATTTATTTTTACTTGTTACGACAGATAAAATGTATTTATTTTTATCAAGGATTTGTGTAGTAAGACAAATCCTTGTTATTATCAGTATCGTTGTGGAATTTGTTTAAGAACTTTACGGCAAAGGAAACACACATCGCCGAAGACAACACGAGTTGTTTCCCTAAATTACGGATAAATAACACTCAAAACATTTATTGACCTATAGAAGTCGAAAGTTGTCTGCGGGTAGGTGACTTCAAACTTGTAGGAGTCAAAACATGTTTAGACTTGTATGTGTCTGAGCTCTGACTGGTTATTGTCTGAAAACTGGAAAATCCCCCTTTTTTAAATGAATAAATTAAACCCCACAACTTGGAAACATAAAATCTTAAATTTATAAAAATCGAAAGGGAGCTCATGTCAATAGATACAAACAATTCACAAAAGTTTCATGCAATTTGGTTAACACATTTTGAGTTATTGTCCAAAAACTGGAAAATCCCCCTTTTTTAATGTTTTTTAGATATCAATAAATTTGTCAAACATACATGGAATTTTGACATGGAATTAGTTATATCTGCACACTAGAACACACATTTGTATGTGTTTTTTCTGCATAAACATGTAATTCATAATTTATTAAAACTTCCAACATAGTGCCATTGTGCATGTTATGCATCTCCTTTTTATGCCCTTGTCGTAACGGAGGGGGCATTAAGTTTTACACTTGTCTGACTGTACATCCTTGCATTGCAAATTAGGTTTTATACCCTTTTCAAAAATTACTCTCTTATATTTTAAAAGGATCTGAAAAATAACCCCAAGTGAAACATAGTTTGGACATCTGATTGTGACACACCCGGATAACAAAATCAATATTAATACCAATAAAAACAATATTCAGTGAATGACTGAGGGATTGGGACCAAATAATCTCTATGGAAATGAGAAGTGCATATATCCTACTCATAATAACTGCACTCCAAATATTATTGACTGTTATAGTAGGTTACCATAAGTTATTTCTTGGTTTCCTTAAACTGACCTCATCACTAATAACTACAAATTTTTGAAAATCTATTGAAAACAGCATGCCTAAGCCACAGCTTCATAACTGTTGTGGCTAGACAAAAAAGAACAAGCAATGTAGCGATTAAGAGAGATTTGAATGCAATTTTCTATAAAAATGACCTGTAAAAAAATTAAATTTGTCACTTCTAACATGGATAGTTTTGCCCACAACAAGAATCAAACTTTAAACTCTATGACCTCAAACTTTTAAAAAAATTTTCGAAACTACATGTACAGAATCTGACAAGAAAAAATTATTCAAACATAGTTATCATTTTCATTACATACCTCTCATCACAAAATTATTCATTGACTACTGCTCCTCATATGCACATAAATCAATAGGACGATCTATGACTCCACTATATAATCTAGAAAGCAATGCCTCAAATGAATTCTGTTCTGTTGCTTAGCTTCTCCTTCTTCTCAAAGTAATTGTACTTTCATTGAAAAAACTAAAATAAATAATGTTTAATAAAATGAAGTTATAATACAATGTATCTGTCAAAATTGCCTTTAATATTTTGATCTGGCAAAATTGGCTTGGTTTGATCTTTTAAAACTAGACCAACAAACTTTTCCTGAAAAAAAATGACAATAAAAAAGTATTTAATCATTTTAATAATGTCATGAATGTTCTAATCCATCACATAAATTCCATATGACCTTTAAATGAAGGGATGAACAAAAGTGATTATATATTACAGGATCTCTGAATCTGTCATGATTTATAATGCCAATCTTTGGGGATTAAGTTATTTTAATAATCATGATACTTTGAAATTTTAAGTTAATCAAATTTGTTTAAATTACACCAAAAGTTGGACTATTTTACATAAGGTAGTATCTGAGAAATGGACTAAACCAGGCAAGGATTGGAGGTAAATACATTGTACATGTACCTTGTTTTTGGCTTTGAACTAGGTGTTAGTAACTGGGGGTACTCTCAGATCTGTACTTGGAGTCTTTTTTGTTGTGGGGATGTATAAATACCCACCACGTCTTGTGTGTGTTTTTGTTAGATGTCTTTCTGCTTTGTATAGATCTGATGAGTTAAGCCCTTTTCACATCAATATCCCAGGTTAGGAGGTGGGTTCGGCACCACAAACTACTAGTCTAGCCCCACCATATCTTGTACATTTGTATGTGCCTGTCCCATGTCAGGAGCCTGCAATTCAGTGGTTCAGTTTGTTTTTTTGTTGTTCTTTGTTTTGTATATAAATTAGTCTGTTAGTTTTCTTGTTTGAATTGTTTTACAAATTTGTCATTTTCATTTGGGGTCTTTTATAGCTGACTATATGGTATGGGGTTTGCTCATTGTTGAAGGATGTACAGTGACCTATAGTTGTTAACTTTGATGTCATTTGATCTCCGATGGAGAGTTGTCTTTTCTCATGAGTGTAAACAATATTTCATTTTGAAAATAATTAGGTTATTTAAACATTACAGTATGACAGTTTTATTAGGATTGGAAAACAAGTGAATTTTCACTGACTTTTACCAATTCCTCTCTTTTCTCATTGGCAATCATACCACATTTTCTTATTTTTATATTTACATTACGTACATGTAAAGTAGACCTTTCATCTTCTCGAGGGGTCCGATTCCTAAGTACAACAGGGGGCCCTAACAGCATTTATTTCGAGTCGGCTAAAAAACAATCAGATAGATTATGATACAATTAACAGGTTTCTTTGCAATTATTTTGCAAATAACTAAGCTAATGCAAGAATAAAGTTATTCTGCAATAAATACATAAATTAAATAATAGTAAATAATGAATCTACAATATTATTTTAAAAATGAAACATCATTTAAATTCAATAAATATCATATATTAAATTTCAATTTTTTTTTTAATTCTGGGTAGACATGGTAGATAAGTTTTCATTTTTTTAAAGTAGGGCGAGTTGGTAGACCTTTATAATATATTTATTATATATATATTATATTCATTTGGATTTTACCCAAGTTAGGCTAGTTGCCACTGTTGGCAGGAGTACATTGTATATTTAACAGGATTTAATCCTTAAAAAAATGAAAATATCAGCATGAAAACGTTAAATAGTGAATATATAATGCGAAGGCATATATTATTGGACTAGGTACCTCGAATGACCGAATAACACCATCATTATCCGAAAACACTTATAATGACCGAATAACACTTGAAATTTTAAAATTAGCACATATTGGTGACTTTTAAACATTTATTATTGAATAATAGTATATTAAAAATGTATTTTATAGCTTAAAAATGATATTTAGAAAGCAGGACTGAGGTAAATTCATCAAAAAGATCAGTGTGTACATCCAACATGGCGACCGATGTGATTTCTTATAATATTATTTTATAAACAATGTTTTTATTAAAAGTCACCAATATGTGCTAATAATAAAATTTCGAGTGTTATTCGGTCATTTCAAGTGTTATTCGGTTAAAAACGGTGTTATTCGGTCATTCGTGTTACCCTTGACTTGCTTCCGTTTTTGCCATTCTTTGACTGATTTTCGGATTTACATGCATGACATGGATAAAGTCAAATGATTTTTCGTGAAAAGTATAGCACTAGCATCTTCCTAAAAATGTGCATGATTATATTTACCTTTCATTGCGCTTTCCAAGTACAATAAGTTGGTACGTAATCCATCAAAACGAAACACTTTCGTTGCGTTGACTTTCTTATGGATTCTTCCAGTTAATCGACAATGTAACCCATTTCAATATATCTGTTTATAATAACTTTTTGACCCATCAGTTGAAAAACCAAAGGTCTTTGTATCAACTATCTGACTATCTTTGTCCATTCTTTTTAAACAGTAAAACTTGAATTCAGCAGCAGACGAGCGTCCATGGATTTTGCGTCATAGTATGAAAACGGCAACGGTGAAAAGATTTCCGGGTTTCCGTATTCAACGTGCCAAGCTTTCGTACATTTACGTATAATCATAGATGTAATCTATGGTATAATATATGAGAGTTAGTCTGGTATCAAATATGGGGATTTAAGTAAGGACAAAAAAAAATAGATAGTTGAAAAGCAAAAATACAGAATGAAGGATCATAGAGAATAATTGAGTATATTTTTAATACACCTTATCGCTATTCCCGCTTGACCCGAGAATCTGTCCCGCTCGAACTTTTGACGTCATACAACAATCACTTTTCCATTGTGGCGTCAGATATTTTCTATTATGACGTCAAAATTGTACGGGAACTTATGTGATGTCCAGTAAATGGCGGACAAATAGCGAGAAGGTGTATTATGAAGAATCATGCAGAGACATTATTCTCAGAGCATATACATGTCTCTGGAAGAATTGAGAATAAAGAAAAACTAAATAAAGAATATTCAATCATCTATATATTATTTATAACTCATTCACATGTTGTTCCATTCAGAATTAACTAACTCTGCTGAGGGGAGCATGGGAAGTTGGGAAAATTGACAAACGAGAATTACTGTAATCAGAGGAGAATTAAATGTCAGACAGTTAGAGTGTAATAAATAAAATATTAACATATATTTTTCAAAATGTTGTCACAGAAAACACAGATTTTTTTATCACTAATAAGATTCTGCAATTTGAGTACTATGTCCAACAGATGTCAGTGAATTAGAAATTTTACTAATCTGATAGACGTTTAGTTAAGAATCTGTGACAAGTTCTTTTGTAATATTATTAGGAAATTGCCTACCGCCTCCTTGATTTAGAATTGCATACTCTTCAAGGTTAAGCTAGTTTTTGTGTAATGTTAAGCCCAACGGTTACTGTTGATTTTATCGGCTTTCATTCTTTTAACGTTTCTCATTTTATTGGATTTATGGTTATAAATACCACTTAAATTGGTATCCTCTTTCGATTTCACGGTTCAGTGGCGGATCCAGAGGGGGGCGTAGAGGGCGTACGCCCCCCCTTTGCATGAACTTTTTTTTTTTTTTGTAAAATGATTAATCAGACTAGACTTCGTGAACTTTGCCATTACCCGGCCGTGTATTTAATTTTTATGCGACAATTCTTTACTTATAAAGATATTTTTCGCTCGTATTTACTGTAATATATTATTGATTATGTCAAAGTCATGTGATTCGCTACGGTGGAGTTGATCAGTACGTCGAAAAAAACGTCACTCAGTCATTTTGAAATTTAAATTACAGTAACACATTGCTTTCGGCGGAGGATGACAAGCATGACTCTTTCAAAGCGACAAAGGATTGAACAAGAACCACGTATTGACTTCTATTTCACAATTCCACTCAACAGAAAGTAATACTCTATTACACTCTCATGAAAAAAAAGTTCCACAGCAATATTATTTACCTACAAAAATATGTTTAACCCCAGACGCCCCAGCCAATTAATAACATTGCTGAATAGTGATCCCCAGTCAGTAAGCTCTAGATAGATTTAAAGTCTAAGGTACGGACCATTTGATTTGATAGGGCAGTCGGAGATATTTTAGAGAAAAAATTCTGACCCTGATTTTTGCCTTAAACCAAAATTCTGGCCGTATCTGTATTGAAAACAATTCTCGTGTCCCCTTTTTGCTATCAGAAAAAAAAATCCAACAGAATTATTCAGCATTAAATGAACATGGTGAATAAAAAAACGGGCGTAAACTTTTTTGGGGGTTTGCATGTAAATCCCATATCTGACCGAAATGTCTGTTTCGCCGAACTGATATACTGAATACTTTTTTCAAGGCCCAAATGCAACCTGCCTGCTGGGTGTGGCCTGTCTCCATTTGTCGACCGTCATTCACAACTTCGTTGTCATTTGATTTTCAGACTCATTCGTAGCCTTTGGTTGATTTGGGACCTCTCACTTCCCTTGTTGGGTGAAACATTTCAACCAAACATTTGGATAAAAAATGCTTGTTTGTCTTTGTTCGTGTCGGTCGTATTATAAACTTCATTGAATAGCCGCATATCATCATACATGTTTACAAAAAGAAATCTGTGAGGTTATGTTAACTAACCATACAACAAACGAGAATTTTCCATGTCCATTTTTTACTGACAAATCCCACATCAAATATATTAGTTGTACATAGCTTTGGATCCATTCAGTCATTTTATAATAGACAATTAATGGGGAGAATGCGGCATCAAAAATGTCCAACCCTAGCTTACACTTTATTTATAAAATATACATGTCTCACGTCAGGAACCGTTAAAAATGTGCATTTTACACTTATTTTATGTTTTTTAGCCCCAAAAAAGGTCTAAAAAAAACTTTAAATACTACGCCCCCCCTTTCCAAAATCCTGGATCCGCCCCTGCGGTTAACAACAGACCCACAGCTAAAGCCATCATGTACTGTTAAAAAATCATCTTCCCGAAAAATAGTTTTATTTTCACCTGCAGGCCGGAGATTTCTGTCCAGAATTTCATACCAAGGTTGTTTGGGTATCACAGTTTAAAAATGTTATCACCGTTGATCCAATAAACAAATCCTTGGTTGATCTATTCTTAAACGATGACATTAAAGCCTCCAACCTGGGACTATTATCGAAACTATTATACTTAGTATAATAGTCCCAGCTCCAACATTGATATTTATGTTC